TTTTTTTTTTTTAACATCTTTATTGGGGTATAATTGCTTTACAATGGTGTGTTAGTTTCTGCTTTATAACAGAGTGAGTCAGTTATACATATATATATGTTCCCATATCTCTTCCCTCTTTGTCTCCCTCCCTCCCACCCTCCCTATCCCACCCCTCCAGACAGCCACAAAGAACCGAGCCGGTTTCCCTGTGCCATGCGGCTGCTTCCCACTGGCTATCTACCTTACGTTTGTTAGTATATATATGTCCATGTCTCTCTCTCGCCCTAACACACCTCACCCTTCCCCCTCCCCATATCCTCAAGTCTGTTCTCCAGTAGGTCTCTGTCTTTATTCCTGTTTTACCCCCACGTTCTTCATGACATTTTTTTTTTCTTAAATTCCATATATATGTGTTAGCATATGGTATTTGTCTCTCTCTTTCTGACTTACTTCACTCTGTATGACAGACTCTAGGTCCATCCACCTCATTACAAATAGCTCAATTTCGTTTCTTTTTATGGCTGAGTAATATTCCATTGTATATATGTGCCACATCTTCTTTATCCATTCATCCCATGATGGACACTTAGGTTGTTTCCATCTCCTGGCTATTGTAAATAGAGCTGCAATGAACATTTTGGTACATGACTCTTTTTGAATTATGGTTTTCTCAGGGTATATGCCCAGTAGTGGGATTGCTGGGTCATAGGGTAGTTCTATTTGTAGTTTTTTAAGGAACCTCCATACTGTTCTCCACAGTGGCTGTATCAATTTACATTCCCACCAACAGTGCAAGAGCGTTCCCTTTTCTCCACACCCTCTCCAGCATTTATTGTTTCTAGATTTTTTGATGATGGACATTCTGACTGGTGTGAGATGATATCTCATTGTAGTTTTGATTTGCATTTCTCAAATGATTAGTGATGTTGAGCATTCTTTCATGTGTTTGTTGGCAGTCTGTATATCTTCTCTGGAGAAATGTCTATTTAGGTCTTCTGCCCATTTTTGGATTGGGTTGTTTGTTTTTTTGCCACTGCACCACCAGGGAAGCCCGTCATTGTTGGTTTTTAATGGAAAGTAGCTCAACTCCTTTGTCCTGTGAAGGATCATTTGAGAGGCCCTCAGGATTAGGGAAATTCAGTGTGACTGGGCAGTCACTGTCCTGGTATTAAGGTGAAATAAAACCTTTGTGATTTAATCGACGTTGTCCTCACTAAGATCCCTCATATGCAAAGCTGAATGCCAGGAAGGAGGTAACACAATTTGCTTAAGTCCCAGGGCCTTCTCTGGGGAAAAAACTTGACAGTCCAGAATCTGCTCCCTGATAACTGAAATTAGAACTGTCAAGGACTTGATTAAGGACCAGTGGTAGGGAAGAGCAAGGAGGTGCCTAATATAAAACAGCCTTGAGTAAATCAGCAAGATTTTAAGTCAATGACCTGGGCTCAAGAGCAGGGCCTTAGGTTTTATTGGCTTTTACTACTGGTTGGGACCACTGGCTGTGCCAGGGAAGCCATGGTGGAGCAGAGGAGTGTAAACTGAAGACCAGTTCAAGCACAGGGCTCTCCTGTCCAAATGCAGCATCAAGGGAGGGGCACTGCTTCCTGTGCAGAGAGCTGGGCCAGAGAGAGACCATCTCCACGGGACCAGTACCACCTGGGGGGACAGCGGAGGGCCACGCCTTCATCACTCCATGGGGCAGTGAGGAGTTCTGCTGGGCTGTGGAAGTCACACAGGCCTCCCTTATGGATTGTGTTAACCTGGAGGCTCCTGGACAGCTCAGGGGTTGCTGCAGGGAGGGAAATGGCCTGTTGGCTCTTCTGGTGTTCAAGCCGAGTTTTAGCTTGACAGAAAATTAAAACATGTAACCATATAGGTGCCCAGAGCTTGAAAAGCACATCACACACACTTTACAAGAGCTTTAAACCCTGTTTACGATTAAGTGTTTTACATTCCAGTGAGTAATTTCTTCAGAGATGTAACTCCATCCCACTCCCTCTCCACCTCCATGGCCCCCACTTACCCTGCAGTGTTACTTATACTTTCCATCAGAGATAATTCTAAGGCTTGAACGGCCAGTTCATCAGGCACTGTCATTCCTTTATGAAGATGCCAATTTAGCATAAGTGCCAGCTCTGTGTCTGGTTGGTGGTTTAATACATAACGCAGAGCGTCTCCTATTGACAAACGCTTTAAGCCATAGTCACTTGAAATTTTTTTGGCAACTGAAAAACATTAAAACTTTAAACTTACTCCGTTTCATAAATTCATCAGTTAATCTTAGTTTCAGATTCTGGTTAATTGACATCAACAGCAAGCTAATCTTCACATTCCTCAAAGAAATTTCAAAAATTAAAATTGCTACATCTTATTGAATTAATACTGTTCAAAGGTTGATCGTTATTAGCACTTCAGGTATGTGGCTGATGGGTCTGGTTACTGAGCCAACTCCGTGAGGTTTTCTATAACCAAACCACTGAAGTAGCTTTTTTCCTTCTGCACGAGGTAGCAAAATTTTTGAGAGCTTTATAAGGCATCCTATGCGTACTATTAATATTTGATATTATGTCCCAAATAACAGTTCAGTGCTCCTTGTGTCACCGGATTAAACCATTTCCCTATCTGTCCATTTATGGACTCCAGGATGCAATCAGGATAGCTTACCCTATACAGTTAGGTGGCAGTTAATCCTTAGGAAGTAATTTTAAAAAATTATAATGGCATATCTGACATTTTAATAGTCATTTACAGCTTATGAGGTAATATTTCTTCTGTGACTTTTTTTGATATTTGCAACTATTCCGTCAAGTGTGTAGAGTGGGTATTGAAGTTCCAATTTTATAGACGAGAGAACTGCAGCCCACCGCAATGGAATAATTTGTCCAAGGGCACATAGATGTTGCCATTTGTTGAAAGAGGACTCAGGCTTGGCCTCTGCTTCTGCTAAGTGAGACCACAGATAATAGCTTCCAGTTACTGTTAAATGTGGGTGTGCTCTGATAGGGTCTACAGACCCTGCTTCATCACAGTCTGGAGACAGCAGTGTGTAGAGGGCACTGAGACTCATCTGGTCCCATGGGGAATACAGGTTAACTGGCTACAATTAGGGCCACCCGGGAGCAACTCCCCTGTGAGGGCTGCAGAAGGCTTCATCTCAGCTTTGCCACAAACGCGAGAGTCACACCTATTATTCTTAAGCTATGAAAACAATTAAGCATTTACAATTTGACATTTTGTTTAAAGATTAACCTCTATTTCAACAAAAATCGAGGAATCAGATTGTCTAATCTACATTTTACTTTTACTATTTACTTTTACTTACTATTAAAGACTATCATGTTAAGACGTTTAAATGGGGAAAACACACTTTTCATCTGAAGAGCTGAAACACAAAACTCTCTTTTACTGTTTCTGGTGAAAATTAATCTTTGACCTCATCTCTCCCCTTCATTCGCTATGCTGTCAGTCATTAAGTCCTGTCATTTCCTTTTTAAATATCTCTGGTATCTGCCCTTTCCCATTTTATTATCATTGCGACCAACCACTGTTCATGTGGTTATCATGTCACATGGCATCTTGAAATACCACACTCACCTATTGTTGGACTATTTGCCTTAAAAAAAAAAGTCTCAAGATATAAAAAATTCAAACATTATAGTTTACCAAATGCCTTTTCCAGTAATGATTAAGATAATGGATTTTCACTCTTTAACTTATTAATACAGTAGATTATATTTATAAAATTTTAAATATAATTTTTATGCTAATAAAATCTTAATATAACTGTTATTTGACTATATTTATAACTAATATTCATTTGTAATTTTTTTTGTATTATCTTTGTTAGGTTTTGATATCAGGGTCATGCTAATTTAAAAATGAATTTATATTTTTTATACCTTTTTAATTGTATGGACTATATTCTTTACTTTAAAAAAAACTGAAAATAAATTGGTCAGTTTACTTTCTTTTCCCTTGCTCTGGAAAAGCTTATAAAAACACAGTAAGTATCTCTTGAATTTTTAATTCTTTGAAAGTTTGACATAATTTTCCTCCAAAACCATTTGATTCTGGGCTGTTTTGGAGTGGGGCTATATTTTTGAATGCCTTCTCCTCAATGGTTATTGGCCTATTTAGGTGTTCTGTCTCTTTTTGAGTCAGTTTTGATAGTTAGCTTCCTGGAAAAGTGGCCCTAGTCTTCAGGAGATTCTTTTATGCTTAAGGATAGTAAAGGCAAACACACCCTTACCTGTAGTTTTCCCAGATTTTGGAGGCCCCAGAAGTGCAATCCTAATGGGCATAGTAGGCTTAGGTTTGGGTTGGCGGATATATTTGATTGGGTTCTTCATAAATTTTTCTTTAGTTTCCTTACTAGATAAAAAATAAATATACTGACGATGGATTACAGGATGAAGTAGATTCTCTGAATTTTCAACTGGCTTGATTGTCTCTCCTTCACTTAGCTGCAATATATGCAAGACTGAGTTAATAAGTTAGCTTTATTTTAAACAGCATTTCCCCCAAATACACTTGAAAAAACAAATTTGTAAAATCTTTCTTATAGAAGAAAACTAATTATAATCAAGTACTGATAATAAAAAACTGTAAAAAGAATGAATTATTTTATACTCATATGGAATAAATGTAGTTTTTCTTAAGTGTTTCAGTTTCTGACAATTATAGTTATTCTACTTCCTTTATAATGTGTTTAGCATATACTGAATGTTTCTGCCAAGGAGTGTAAAGGTGTTTGGATATATTCACGGGCCAATTTATCTTCACAGACAGGTCCATTCCTAAGGTGGCGTAATGTACAGAAATGTGTCCTCCCAAAATCACGGTTTGAAGCCCTAACCCTCAAAGTTACTGTATTTGGAGACAGGGCCTTTGAGGAGGTAACTAAGGTTAAATGAGGTTATAAGAATGGGGCTCTAATCTGAGGACTGGTGTCCTTATAAGAAGAGAAAAGAGACACCAGGAGTGCATAAGCACAGAGGAAAAGCACTGAGGACACAGTGAGAAGTGGCCATCTACAAGCCAGGAAGAGAGGCCTCACTAGAAAAACCATCCCTGCTGGTACCTTGATCTTGGACTTCCAGCCTCCAGAACAGTGAGAAAATACATTTCTGCTGTTTAAGCTACCCAGTCTGTGGTATTCCATTATGGCAGCATGAGTAGACTAATACAGGTGGGGTCCTGGGTTATATATGGGAGTGTACTGGTAGGACAAATCCCACTAGCTTCTCTTCTACATTTTTATACAGATGAAATCCCACTCACGCAAACATCAACAGCAGCCACAAAAGGGAAAAATACACCTAAAAGGCAGCCTAAGGTGTCGGTATGGAATGGAGAGGGAGGACTGGTCCCACATCTTTGCATTGGTCATGATGACGACTGGGTAATTAAATGGATATCTTTTTATATCATCAGATGGCCAAGCATCAGTCATCCCTGGACTTGACAGAGTAGGTGGGAAACAGTATGGTAATATTGCCCCTCCCCCAGAACTACACCAGGATAGTTGTCACAGGTCAATGGTGTTGTCAGCATCATCATTCTTGGGCTGAAGTGATATTCATGGCTGGGAGTAAATGTTAGGGATAAGAAGAAACTCAGGGATGGGGTGGGAATGTCTGCTCTATTTCTTATACTTGGTAATAAAAGAAAAGCTGAAAGTTTAATGATCCCATTTCAGATTCGCAAATTAAGTGTGAATTCTTACAATAGTTTCTGCTATTGCCCATGTAGATATTGCTATCTAGCATGTATCTTTCTTCTCCATAGGTCAGAATACCCAAGGTGTCATCAAATCAGAAACATCAAGTAGTCAGGAACCCAGAAAGGTTCCCAACAGCCCTGAAAAAATGATTTATATGCTTAAACCCTTCCTATGACCATGCACTCATTTCTCCACAAGGCATCTTTATATAATCCTAATTATGTTTGGACATGGATCCTTAAACAGGGTTCTGACTTTGATTGCTTCTTCCCCTCTCTTGTCCATCTCAAAGAGAAAGTTAGGGTGTAACTATTTTTCAAAAGCTTTCTAGGTGATCCTAATACATGCTTAACTTTATCTGATTCTCTATGGAGGGAACGGTCATAATGTTTCTATATTTCAGCATGATATTTGAAAAGGTTTCTCTTGACATCCTTACAGTGAAGGTCAAGAAGATATCACAATTAAGTAGAATTGAAACTGACTGTATCAACATCAGCCAGGAAGGAGGTTTCAAGTAATATGCACATGGCTCCATTTTGGATCCCTTCCTCCAAAATACTTTTTATCACTGACCAATACACATTAATAACAACAACTTATATTAATTGAGCATTCACAATAAAACAAGCACTGTTGCAAGCACTTTACAATAATTAACTGATTTAGTAATTGTAACAATATCATGAGGTAGGGACTATTCTTATTCCCATTGTGCAAATGGGAATGGCTCAGAGAGGTGAAGTAATTTGTCCAAGGTCACTCAATTAGGAAGTGATGGGTTTGAACTCAGGCAGTCTGGCTTGAGAGGCCATGGTCTTCTCCACTGTGCTGCTTCACTGATGGAAATAAGAAGGTACACTGGTCGAGAGGGCAGGTCACCTTTACGTGACATTCTTTTATTGTCTTTATAGCACTTAATACCACCTGACAAGAACCTATTTGTTTACTTATTTATTGCCTATCCTCCCTCTCCAACCCAACTAGAATATAAGGCCCATGACAAAGGAACCTTGTCTGTTTCATTCACTGCTCTATTCTCAGGGACTGACACAGTGGCTGGCGTGTTCTTGATTAAGATTTGTTGAAAACCATCCCACATTTGAAGTTACTGAATTCCAATTACATTAAATGTTTGTCCACACTGCATAAAAATACAGTGCTGAGAAATAAGTTTGTGATGAACATTAAAGGCACATTTTGTATGGTATCTCACACTTTCCAGAGAACTTTATATTCTTGCATTTGATCACAGTGGCCTGATGGCAGTATTCTCCCATCTTAAAGGTGAGGAAGCAGAATCAAAGAGTTTAAAGGACTTGCCTAAAATTAGATAGCAAATTGTGTCAGAGCTCAGCTCGCTAGATGTCTAGTTTGAAAATATTTCTACTACCATCTTCTGCTACAGAATTAAAACCAAGTTGGAACTGGATGATCTCTACAAAAATAGACGAAAGAAATTTAAACCCTTCAACTACTTTCCTACTTCAGAAAGGCGAAACAACCACACATATTTTTATAGCTAGTTAAGAATACTATACGATGCTTACAATTTTATGAACTTATCCACTGTCTTCTTAGACATACTTAAAAAAAAAAAAGAAATAAGAGAAAGAACATGGTTTTCAGATGCATTTGCTGACATTACCTTTACAGGGTCCCAGTAGCCAAATGAGCTTATATACTTGTAGGTAAAGCCGAGCATTTTCTGGGCAAGGCGGGATGATATTGGATAACATTTCTCGAAAATGCTTGCACGATTCTCCACCAGTGGTTTCAGTTTCATATTCAATATGTATTGTACAATGTGGGTTTTCCGAGCTCCATTAATGAGAATTACTGGTATCAAAAACTTCTCAAATTCTTCCTAATGAAAAAAAATCATAAAACCAAATACTTTTAGTGGGAAGGAGGCTGGCGGTATTTAGTTACAGCACATGGACATTGCTAGTAACTGATTACTTCAGCCTAGAGAACAAATATTTTTCAGCTTCCAAGTAACTGCAGGTTGGCAGCTAAAACTTTGACCCTATGTGGCTTCCATGTTGCCCTTGATTTATTAACTAGTTTTTATAATTGTAAATGGTGCTGACGAAAGGGACCTAACCCCTAAAAATATACATTTCTTTTGAAATGTTAAAAAGAAACCAAGGCATAAACCAAATCGCTTTTGTTTCATTCTCAAACGTTATTTTTTGAATTATGAAAAGTGAAAAAGTAATAACCTGTATTATTTGTAAGTTATTTGTATCTGCTTCAAATTTTTCTCCCAGTTCACCTCTCAGGCGTTCGAGCGCATCAATTTCCTGCTCTGCATCTTCCTCACTCATCACTTCCTCATCTTTTGGAAATTCATCAAAAAGGATGTTGTCAATATCATCTTCCTCATCTTCAGGTTCTTCCTCGCTCATGTCTTCATCTTGCCTAACAGTCTAAGGAAGAAAATATTCCCTTTTACTATACATATAAAATATGGAACAAATGACACTGCTAACTAATCATCTGGGATATTTTGCAATAAGTGGGTATTGGTTAGTATGGCATGCGACGTTCATCAACTGCTATAGTAAAATTTCAAATATCTGGCACCCAAGAAATTTAATGCCTTCAAGACTCTAACACCACAGTGATCCCATAAATAAATACCTAGACAAGATATTAACTGCTAATATTTAATGCTATAGTTGTCAGAACATTACATGTTTCTCATGGTCTTCAGTAACAATATTTAATGCAACTCAAAGAGTATATAAAACGCTCCCTAGCTGTGTTCGCTTGCACAAAACCAGTTTCCTCATCTGTAAAACAGGAATAAGGAAAGTACCTCCCTCACATGGTTGTTGCCAGTGCTAAAATAAGTTAATACATGCAAAGCCCTCAGAAAACTGTCTGGTACATGGTAAGCATGCAAACGATAGCTGTTATTCCTATTATTAAGCTGTTACAGTTATTATTGTCATTTTGTATAAAGCACTGTTCTAATAGAATAGTACATGCCCCTGAGGAGGCTGCAGCTTATCTGAGGAAACCAGAATTAACACATAAATGATTACTGAAGACCACGACAGGATACTGATACTAAGTGGTGTTGTATAGGCTCGAAGTGCTACAGTCCAGTTTGCGTAACACTGAACCTTGTCCTACTGATCCTCCTGCACTGCCTCTATGCACTTCGCCCAGAAGTATCCCTTGTCCCAGATGGAGCACTGCCTTCCCGTCGGAAACCTGGGAGTTATCTTGACGCCTCGCTCTCCATTATTGCACATCCAGTTTCTAAGAACAGGAATACTAAATAATACTTAAGACTCTCTCCTCCTTTTTAGTCCTGCTCTACTGTTTGCCCTCTCATTACCTCTTGCCTGCACACTTCTGATTAGCTCGCTATTTCCTGATCTTTCTAACTGATTAGACCCTGGTGCCTTTAAAGGCGCCTGGAGCTGGAATTTGGACTTGCAGGTGCCGGGAGGAAGATGAGAGGACAAAGGGCCCTTCCCTGTTCTGTGCCCAGGCTCCTCTTTCCCCGGAAGGAGTCTGGCGTTGGAACTATGTTTCTCAATTCTTATTCTTTTTTATTTGAATTTTGAAGCCATTTGGTTCTCTTACTACTTTTTCCTTTTTCTTATATTTTGACAAATTTTTAGTTTGAGATTTGATTTGCTAACGATCACTGGAGGTATGGTGGGATGAGTCCACACTACGAGCTGCAGACATCTTAGTTTCAGATGAACTTTTGCTCACCTCTCCAGCTCTATTTAATAGCTCTTCCAACTTGTTTGTTAATTTAAAAAATTACACTATATAAGTTTAACAAGAAACTTTCAATTAATTTAAATGCTATATTGTAGTTTCCATGAACTTTTTTTTTGCTCTCTGGTTTTTCATATCATCCTGTTTTTGTTTTAAGGATACAAGTTCTTGAATTATTCAAGGCAAATTGGAATTTTTAAAATGTTTAATATATTTTCTGTGTGGTCTATTTGTTTTAGAGTCAGTTATTCTGTTTCTTCATCTTGGTTCTTCTTTGTATTGATAATTTAAAATATATGGCAATCCTTGGTTGTTTATTCATTTTTATGAATGAAGGACTAAACTGATTAATTCAGAGCAACTGTAAGCTCTGGGTATATGAGCAGGACAGGTTGTATCATGCTTCCATTTAAGATGTGAGGACGAGAAGAGGCAGGCAGGCTGGATCTTGTCCCAGATGATGAAGAGCACCAAGCAACATTCTGTGGCACCTAGCATTTTCTAGACAGATTATTTAATTACTTTAGAAATTATTTACTTTTTCCTTCATGGGGACAAATGTCACTGTTACATGAGGAGCTGGTGGGATCAACCTTAAATAATTTTTCTGCAATTTACCCTCTTGGACTTTCTAGATAATCAAATATGTGCAAATATTAAATTTTGTTCTTACTTTTCAATATGTATGCTGTTTCTTTTTCTGATCATGTTGCTGTGGCTAGTTCCTTTAAATTTTTTAAAAGGTTAATAGCCTAAAAATCTTCATAGAAGACCATCTGAGAGACCCACAGGTTAATTCTTTTTAGGGAAAAAGGTTTTAGTTTTCTGTAAATGGCATTTCGGTCCTCTGGAACAGTGCTGCTTTTTTCCTTATATCTAGTATCTTTCAGTCCTTATGTTAGGAGATACATGTTCTAAAATTCATGGTCTCAGAGATCTGCCTCCAGTATGAAGGAATAAGTTCATTTAGCCTCTAGCAGATAATAACCATAAGCCATGGACAACACACACACAAATACACACACATTTTTTTCTCCTCTCTCTTGCTCCAGAGGGCTTCTGGAGAGTGAACACAGGCAGATTTTGTAGAGTAGTCAAAATTTGGAGGGAGTGATTGGCTTAGGGTCAGTTCTCTTATTTTGTGCATTTGCATGGAGGGCAGCCTCCATTAGAGTGGTGGTGGCAGAGAGGGACTAAAACTCTGATAGAAAGCTCTGTCTTTTGTCACCTACAAATTGGCACTTGCCCTCTACCTCTGTAAGAATTAAATTATGAGCTGCTGCAGCTGCTGACCTTCAACAGCCCTGGAAAGAAGTTCAGGATGAATCAGAAATGAGGCACTCTGTGCTCTAGAAAAAACTGGCAGAACAGGTCTTCAGATAGTTAGATATTTTCAGGAGATGATTTTATGAGCCCAATTCTTGCATCTCCTCATATCTAGAAAAGTGATAAAATCCTTCACCGCTACTCCTGGCATTCTCCTGCATGTGGCTATGCTACACTTGGTAAAAGGGACCCAGGCACCAGAGAAAGAGCTAGTGTACAGGACGAGGGCAAAGATTCTGGAGTTAGAGGTAAGAGTAGAGGCAAGGCCTCCAAGGAATTGGGAGATATGCATTGTAAATCTGTATGAAGCCACTGGTTTATAGAATATTCTTCAGTCACATTTGGAGACTAAAATTCCACATGATGGCGACATTTTCCTATAAAATTAATGGAAGTAGTCACCTTGAGACTTTGAAGTGATTTCTAATGTTAGAAGTGTTTTATTTGTTGCTAAAAAGTCAGACAGCAAAGGCAATAATGTTAAGGCTGAGAAGACAAACCTGGGAAGGGCTTTATCTGCATATGGTTCCCTAACTGCTTGGGAAAAAGGTGAGTCAAGAAACTGCATATTTCTGTACAGAGAGGCAAATGATGAGAAGACCCCTGGTTCTGTGCATGAAAGCAAGCTCCAAGGTCCATGTGGAGTCAGGATGGATTCAACTCAGGTCGCCACATTAACTGATTATAACAATTGTACTAAGTGATCCTTGAGATGCTGCACTGTGTTTAGTCTTTCCTTGTCTGAGGCAGTAGCAGTACATATAAAATTCCCATCAAAAAAGTTTAAAGAAATACACAGTTTTAATCTCAGAAAATCTCATTAAAAATCTCAGGAACTCTCATAAAAAATCTCAGGAATTGTCTTCCAAAAGTCAGTTTGTATAAATTAATTGTGGGAGATACATAGCCAATTTTTATAAAAGATTAAGTCTCAGAAGAGCTAACTTACAAAATCTTATTTTGTTTATAAGATAGAATATTTCATCTGATGTGCTTGGCTGTAGCATTCGGGTCAGCTAGGTCAACTGGGGACTAGCTCCTCTCTAAACAAAACGAAGTCCATGATCTTCAAGGTTTATCTTTTTAAAAAATCAGCAGACGGAAAAGAGGAGCTGTATTGAACATCCTGCACAGTACGTGACTCTGATCGTCTACAGGCTCTGCCCCATTCCATTCTTTATCTCGAGGTAAACTATATTTTAGCTCCAGCACAACTTCACAGGCTCTCTGTCTAGACCTCATTCCCAAGCTCCCAGCCTATCTCCCTGTAGCATGAGCTGAAGTGTGAAAAACACAAATGAAAATCCACAAGAAGCATAGTTTGATGTAGTATTATTATATTTTGTATTAGATTATTTAAACATCTTGGTTTTCTTTCTTTTAAAAATTTTTGTTTTTCTGATTATAAAAGTAATAAAAGTTCACTGTAAACAGTTATAGAATACCAAAAAGTGTAAAGAAAGTAAAAATGATACATAATCTCAGGACTTGTACATAAACTCTATATCTCCATCAAGACTTCTATGCATCTTTTTGATGCTCAACATCATTAATTATTAGAGAAATGCAAATCAAAACTACAATGAGGTATCACTTCACACAGGTCAGAATGGCCATTTTCCAAAAGTCTTTGAACAATAAATACTAGAGAGGGTGTGGAGAAAAGGGAGCCCTCCTACACTGTTGGTGGGAGTGTAAACTGATTCAGCCACTATGGAAGAGAGTATGGCGTTTCCTTAAAAACACTAAAAACAGAGCTACCTTATGACCCAGCAATCCCACTCCAGGGCATATTTCTGGAGAAAACCATAATTTGAAAAGATACATGCACCCCAATGTTCACTGCAGCACTATTTACAATAGCCAAGACATGAAAGCAACCTAAATGTCCATCGACAGATGAATGGATAAAGAAGATGTGATACATATATATTAAATAGAATACTACTCAGCCATAAAAAGGAATGAAATTGAGTTATTTGTAGTGAGGTGGATGGACCTAGAGTCTCTCATATAGAGTGAAGTAAGTCAGAAAGAGAAAAACAAATACCGTATGCTAACACATATATACGGAATCTAAAAAAAAAGGTTCTGAAGAACCTAGGGGCAGGACAGGAATAAAGACGCAGACATAGAGAATTGACCTGAGGACACGGGGAGGGGAAAGGGTAAGCTGAGACGAAGTGAGAGAGTGGCGCTGACATATATACACTACCAAATGTAAAATATATAGCTAGTGGGAAGCAGCCGCATAGCACAGGGAGATCAGCTCAGTGCTTTGTGACCACCTAGAGGGGTGGGATAGGGAGGGTGGGAGGGAGATGCAAGAGGGAGGGGATATGGGGATATATGTATACGTATAGCTGATTCACTTTGTTATACAGCAGCAACTAACACAACAATGTAAAGCAATTGTACTCCAATAAAGACGTTTAAAAAAAAAAGAAAAAAAAGAGAGTAGCAGAAAAACAAAAACAACAAAAAACAAAACAAAAAAGGAATGAAATTGGGTCATTTGTAGAGACGTGGATGGACCTAGAGATTATCATACTAAGTGAAGTAAATCAGGCAGAGAAAGACAAATATCATATGATATCACTTATATGTGGAATCTAAAAAAAAATACAAATGAGTTTCTTTACAAAACAGACACAGACTCACAGATTTAGAAAACAAACTTATGGTTACCAAAGGAGAAACGTGCAGGGGAAGGATAAATTAGGAGGTTGGGATTAACAGATATACACTGCTATATATAAAATAGATAATCAACAAGGACCTTCTGTATAGCACACGGAACTCTACTCAATACTCTGTAATAACCTATATGGGAAAAGAATCTGAAAAAGAATAGATATATGTATATGTATAGCAATCACTTTGCTATACACCTGAAACTAATATAACATTGTAAATCAACTATACTCCAACGTAAAATAAAAATTAAAAAAAGACTTCTATGCATCTTTTCATTTTACATTGCTGAGATTTTATATATGTGTAAAATATGTTTTAAATATGTGTGTCCTTTTTTTTTGCAAAAAGCAATTTTATTTACTTACCTCCCCTCCTTTCCTTTTTTTCTCTCTCTCTATTATAAGTTCAGCCCTTCTTTTAGAAATCAGGTCATCCTGTTAAAGAAAGAGACATTAAAAAATATTAATGGATAATAATAAAATTACTTTTTAAAAAAATATTTATTTATTTATTTTTGGCTGCATTGGGTCTTCGTTGCTGCATGCAGGCTTTCTCTAGTTGTGGCGAGCTACTCTTTGTTGCAGTGCACGGGCTTCACACTGCGGTGGCTTCTCTTGTTGCGGACCATTGTCTCTAGGTGCACTGGCTCAGTAGTTGTGGCTCACGGGCTCAGTAGTTGTGACACACGGGCTTAGTTGCTCTGTCACATGTGGGATCTTCCTGGACCAGGGCTCAAACCTGTGTCCCCTGTATTGGCAGGCAGATTCCCAACCACTGCGCCACCAGGGAAGCCCTAAAATTACTTTCTGTATATTAATTTTTTTTTCCTAAAGGGCAATAATATTTGGGTAGAAGAATACTTTCCAGAAAAGCATGTGATAGTGGTAATTATGTCACTTACATCTTTGGACCTCTGGACCTCTTGATCAGCTACTTCCCTCCAGAGGGATAAATGGTACTTGGGATCAGTCACTTTTTCTATAGACTTTAGAATTCCTTTTCAAAATGGTTTACTTATTTGTTTCCTTTGGTGGAGAGGTGGATTTTGTACATGGAGAAACAGGGAAATACTTAGTGGCTATTTGTTGAAAATGTTTGATAATCTTTCATCATATTATTAAGATGTAATTGCCTAAAGAATCCATGTGAGAAAAGCACATGTACTTTGGATGCATTCACACATATGGTGTATAGGTAGTCCTCCAGTCTTTCCAGGGGTCTCTAAATCTAATGCAATGAATGGGTCCTTTGATATGACCTTAAGGTTTGCATGAAAACTAACCAGCACCCCTTGGGTTTGGGGGCTCATTGGCTCAGGACTCTTGAAACTGGAGTCCCCTTAAATACTGGGAGATCAGAGAAGTGCCTTAAAGACATGCCCTGGGGGCTCCCGTCTAGGCCATCAGGACTGTGCTCCTTTTATCTGACAATTACTGAGTATACATTTCAGATAATTTATGTTTTGTTGACATTCAAGAAATATTTGTAGATAGAATTCTAAAACTGAATTGAATCAAATTAATATAGTTCATGAGCCCCAGAGAGATTCTGTAGCTTTTCAGAGGGTAAGAGTTATAAAAACTCTTATTATTTCCTTTTTTAAAACCAGAGTTTTACCATAGGTACTTTAACTGTAGAGTTATGAAAATAGTCTCCTTTGTTGTTTTCATAACATATAAGGAAACCACCGTATATACCAAAAAGAAATGCAAAGTATGTAAAATAAAGCACACACATATTATGAGTCTGTTTTTCCTCTGATCCTTTCACTCAAATAAGTAGTGGTCAGTGAAGTTTAACTAATTATTGCATATCTGCCAGATGCCATCACTGTTCTGAGCACTGCACATGTATATTTTCTGCTCAAAATATACTGCAAGGTGGACAGCATTATCCCACTTTATAGATGAGTTAATAAAGCCAGAAGGTTTAATTCACATAGTATAACACAGCTAGTGTGAGGATGGTGTAAGAAACTCCCAGATAAGGGTATGAAAAAGCACATTGTATGATGGAGCTGTAAGGAGGGTTTGTATTTGTTCCAACTGAGAAATAAAGTTAGAAAGAGGGTTTGGAACAGGATTGGGAGGGCTTTAAATGCCAGACTGAGGAGTTCAGATCTAAACAGAGTGACTTGATCAAAACAGAGTTTTAGGAAGATCAGGTGGCCTGAAGGATGGCCTGGAGGGCCCAGATATGAAGTCTGGTAGGACAATTAGGAGGTCATCGTAGGAGTGCTGGGTGTGAGGTGAAAAGAATCTGAACCAGGGCAGAGTTGTGGGTATGAGAAGAAAGGAGCAAATCTGCTCTTTCCTGTTCCATATCCCTAAAATCCTCAGGGCATGTGATGTCTAGGCTGGGGCTTGATTTAGAGCTGCTCTGTCCAATATGGCAGCTACAAGTCACTTGCAGCTCTATTAAAATTAAATAAAATTAAACATTTGATTTCTCAGCCTCACCAACTAAATACATTTCAACTGCTTAATAGCCACATGTGTGGCTAGCAGCTGCTGTATTGGACAGTGAAGATACAGAACATTTCCATCAGCACAGAGAGTTCTCTGAGAACACTGGTCTAAAGGTGCCAGATCCCACAAGGAGGTAACATGCAACTGTGCTTTGGTGTGCCCTCTTCTTTCTTTTCCATTCTCATGTTTATAGAGCCTCTTGCCTGGCAGACACTTTGGCCCACTTTCTTCAGAGATCAGCAGCAGAAAAGGGAAGGATGTCATGTAGAATGGTGTGAAGCTTGGTGTCTTGCCACACCTCTCTCCTGACTTCCACAGTTCTTGGATGGCTGAGAGATTGGCTTTGATTTTGTGTGGGACAGGGATGGCCTGGGACATGTAATCTTAGTGTGGTGGGGCAAAGGGATGGATTGCAATGCCCTTAGAGGGATTTCCTCTGGCAAGATGGAAAGATGAAAAGAAGTTGACAACTGTGTCTGAGCAGTGACAGAGGAACTTCATGGTTTTAACACTTTGTTTATAATTTAATAAATATCGAGTTGTGATAATGTATTCAGTAATTTAAGTCACAGTAGCTCAAAATTGGAATTAACTGATTAGCTCTCTGACACTAAAGAGAGCTTTCTTCCATACTCTCCCTGCCAAATGTCCACTCAGTCTACGCTTATCTATTGACAAGTAGCTCACTGCCTTCAGTCTTTGTTCTTTTTGGAAAGTCTTACTAATAATGAAATACATCTCCCTGTACCTTCCTCCTACCAATGGTGCTTCTTTCCCCTGTGGCCACATGGAACAATGACATACTCTCCTCAGTATAAAAGACCATCACATAATTTAACACTGTTCTCATGTCCCATCTTGGTCTTCCTAGTTCCAGATTTGAAAGCCCTATTCTTTCTACTCAACCCAGATCTATAAATGTGTCCTTTCAAGACATGTCATACATATGGAATGAATCATAGAGTATATACTATTTTCTTTGCCTGGCTTCATTTACTCAGTATAATGATTTTGGTAGTCATCCATATTGTAGGGGGTATCAATAGTTCATTCATTAAAAGTACTGAATACTCCATTATATGAATATACTATTTATTTATTTATTTATTATTTTTCCAGCTTTATAAAATTGTAAGATATTTAAAGTGTATGTCGTGAAGATTTGATACGTATACATTGTGAAAGGACTTCTCCCATTTAGTTAATTAACAAATCCATCACCTCACATATTTATCTTGTGTGTGTGACAACATTTAAGTTCTACTCTCTTGCCAAATTTCAATTATACAGTAGTACAGTATCCATGTTGTTGCAAACGTCAGGATTTCCTTCTTTCCCATGGCTGAACAACATTCCATTGTGTGTGTGTGTGTGTGTGTGTGTGTGTGTGTGTGTGTGTGTGTACACACCACATCTTCTTTATCCATTCACCTGTTGGCAGACACAGGTTGTTTCCACACCTTGGCTATTGTGAATAATGCTGCTATGAACATGGGAGGAGAGATATCTCTTTGAGATAATGACTTTGTTTCCTTTGGATATATATACCCAGAAGTGGGATTCCTGGATCATATGGTAATTCTATTTTTTAATTACTTGTGGAACCTCCATACTGATTTCCACAGTGGCTATACTAGTTGACATTCCTACCAACAGTGCACAAGCGCTCCTTTTTCTCCACATCCTCACCAGTATTTATCTCTTGTCTTTTTGATTTTAGATACCCTAACAGGTGTGAGAGGTGATATCTCATTGTGGTTTTGATTTACATTTATCTGATGATTAGTGATGTTGAGCACCTTTTCATGTACCTGTTGGTCACTTGTATGCCTTCTTTGGAAGAATATCTATTCAGTTCATCTGCCCATTTTAAAAAATTGGATTTTTTTTTGATACTGGTTTGTATGAGTTCTTTATATATTTTGGATTTTAATCCCTTATCAGATATATGATTTACAAATACTTTTCCCCATTCCCTAGACTGCCTTTTTATCTTGTTGATGGTTTCTTTTGCTGGGCAGAAAATTTTTTAATTTGATGTAGTCCCGCTTATTTATTTTTGCTTTTGGTGTCAAATCAAAAAAAAAAATCATTGCCAAGATTGAGGTCAAGGAGCTTATCCCCCTTTCTTATAGGAGTTTTAGGGTTTCAGGGCTTGTGTTTCAAGTCTCTGATCCATTTTGAGTAGATTTTTGTGTATGGTGTAAGATAGGTGTTCAGTTTTATTCTTCTGCAGCAGGCTATACAGTTTTCCCAACACCATTTATTGAAGAAACTATCTTTTCCCCATTGTACATCCTTGGCTAGTTTGTCATAAATTAACTGACAATATATGCATGGGATTATTTCTGTGCTTTCTATTCTGTTAAACTGATTTATGTGTCTACAGCCTGCTATGGTACTGAATTTTTCAGTTCGGTTATTGTATTCTTCAGCTCTGTGACTTTTGTTTGGTACTTTCTTAACTCTTTAATTATAAATTGTCTTAATATTTGATGAAAATGTTTTCATACTGAATGTGGTATTAAAATCAGAAAACTACATTTTTGTAAAGACCACTTTATAAACTGGATAAATGCTGAACATTTACTCTCATGCTTTTTTTTAACAGATACATACCTTGATTTTTGCCTTCATTTCTTTGATGAGTTTTTTCCTTTCTAATTTCTTCTTTTGTTTCACTTTCCACTTTCCAATTTGGGTAGGAAGGAGGCGATCAGAAACATTTTGATAATCAACTTGTATAAAGACAGCAGCATCTGGGAAAAACCCAAGTTCCCCCAGAAACTGGACCTCGTCAGGATATCGCGGGAAACCATCTAATACAAAACCTGTGGAACTAGGTGGAAATTTCATAACTTACTTTATTGGCTTAAAATATTATATTATAAATATTGATTTAAAAATGAAAAAAGTACTGATAACTCTCAACTTTACATAAGACACCCAATGAATAAACAGTTTCCTATAGTACCTTTTATTTTTTTAATATTTCTACATGCTGTTTCTTCTCCCAAAGGTACTGAGTTGGATTAAAATGATAATATTTTATACTTATATTTATAGTATAAAAGTACTGTCAATCAGTTTATAGACAATTACTATTAATTAGAAGCCTACTAAAAGTTGTGAGAAGATCACAGGGAAAG